AGTAACCTTTTGACATTGGCCTTTTTCACTCAGCATAAAGGCTTTGAGATCCAAAAGTTCCCATTTCTCTGGAATAAATGCCCCAGGAGCGCAATTGCTGGGCCACATGGCAAGGGTATGTTTAGTTTTTTAGGAAACTCCAAGTATTTTCCAGAGTGGCTCTACCCCTTTACATTCCCACCAGCAACGCACGAGACCTTTAGTTTCCCTGCATCCTTGCCAACATTTGATGTCGCCACCACTTCCCACTCCGGCTCTGCTAAAGGTGTGAAGTGCCTACGTCATCATGAGCTAATCTGTATTTCTCTGGTGGCTAAGGATGCTGGTTGTTTTCACATGCTTACCTGCCATCCATATATCCTCTTCCATGAAACATCTCTTGATGTCTTTGGCCCATTTGCTAATTGGATTGGTTCTGTTTGCTTTTTACTGTTGAGTTTTGACAGTTCTTTACCCCTTCTATCTAGAGGTCCTTTGCCGGGTGTATGGTTTGCAAATACTTTCTCCCAGTCTGCGGTCTGTCTTTTTGTCTTCTTAAGAGGATCCTTTCATGGGACAAAAGTTCTGAATTTTAAGGAAATCTGATTTATTCTTTTTTTCCTCTCCTGGATTATGCTTTTGGTGTCAAGTGTAAACTCTTCACCTTGTCTACCTCTAGGTCCCAAAGATTTTCTCTTATGATTTTTTTCTAAAAAGCTTTATAGTTTCACATTTAAATGTATGTTTGAGTTCATTCTGGATAGGGTGTAAGACTTAGGTTGAGAGTTGTGTTTTTTTTAAATTTTGGGGTTTTTTGGCTTACGCTGTCCAATTGTTTCAGCACCGTTTGTTGAAAAGACTATTCTTCCACTGAATTTCAGTTTCCATCCGTTCACTCTAACCTATTATAACTCATATACAGCTTCATTTTTATAACACCCTGAATTATGAGAAAGTGTATCTCCTAGAAGTTTACTTCATCTTTCTTTCTCCAACTCCTCCCGTGCCCTGTTTTCCAATGACAGATAATTACTGAGAGCGGCAGTGAGCCAGCTCGCCTGGAGTGGACGGCTCCTGAGGCCCAGGTGCGGGTGTTCCGTGGCTGAGGCTGGTGATGACCCAGCAAAGGAATGAGGGCAGTGCTTCTGCGTGGGGGCCGTCTGCAGGTGGGCTGGTGGGGACCAGCCCTCTGAGAAAGTGGCCTGACAGCGGAGCCCTGGAGGGGAAGGAGAAGCTGAACGCATGCCAAACAGGAGAAAGAGGATTCCAGGTGGAGGGCAAAGGCTTGGAGGGCTGGGAAACCGCCCAAGCTTCGTCTAAGAAATGTCAGCTTAAAGAAAGGGTGGTGTGACCTGATTGATGTCCTGAGCTTTCCTGGTGTCAGACAACCTCTCCACCTTTTTATCCAAGTTAATGAGCCACAGCAGAAATGGGCAAAGCCTGCTGGCTTTCCTTCAGCTGGGGCTGGGCCCCTGTGACTCAGGGTGTGTCCACTGCCCTCCCCGCCTGAGCCCCTTCCTGCCTCTCCAGGTAGTAAGAACCGCTGGCCTAGCAGCAGCAGGACCCAGAGCCAGCCAGCCCAGGCTGCAGGGGGCTGCAGGGGTGGGTTCTTGGTGATATATGAAGCAGGGGCTGCTGGGAAGGTCACTTTTCTGTTGTGAATGGCCTCTTGGGGTAAATCCTGCGAGATGACACATCTAGTGTCATTAGAAAGCCTAGCTATAAATTAGGCTGCTCAGAAGCATGGGGTGTGTAATAATTAAGTAATAAAAATCGCCACAGGAGTAAAGGAATTGGAAAACAAAGAGCCACTGTTGGTAGATGCACTGCAGGTTGCTCTGTAAAGAGACTTCTGAGCTCAAGTGGCATTTCAAAGCCACTGAACCTCCAGTCAAACAGAGTCTTGGCCCAGCACAGTCCCAAAGAGGTGCACATGTGGTGCAAGCAGACTGTACCAGGGGCACAGGTGGGGTAGGAGAGTGGGAAGTGGAGATCTGGGGTCTGGTCCAGCTTTCCATTTGACTCTGGGTCCACAATGTTCAAAACATGGAAGGGCCCAGCAGGTAGTAGAGGTAGTCTGGTAAAAGGGCAATAGGGAAGGGAGAGGTCTGGGGCCAAATGGCACCAGACAACTCAGGTCCAGCCAATTGTTGTTACATAGGAATGCAGGCCCATGTGGTCAGAACATTTTCAAGAAAATCTGAAAGTTGGTTCTTTATGCAAACTTTCCCAACTTTTAGGTGTTGGCAACAATTTCAAAGTCTTAAGACAAATTCTGGAGGCCAGAAGCTTGAAGTCAAGGTGTCGGCTGGGTTGTGCGCCCTCTGGAGGCTTTAGTGGAGCCTCTTTCCCTGCTTCATCCCGCCTCGGGTGGCCCCAGCATTCTTTGGCTTGCGGCCACATCACTCTAGTCTCTGCCTCTGAGCTCACTTCTCCTCCCCTTCTCCCTGTGTCTTTCTTCTGTGTACCTCTTAGAAGGACACTTGTCATTGGGTTGAGGGCCTACCTTAAAAAGCATTTACGTGATTATTAGTAGCATCTCGAGATCCTTAACTTGATTATATCGGCAAAAATCCTTTTTCCAAATAAAGTCATATTCACGGATTCTGGAGATTAGGATGGAAACATATCATTGTGAGGGTCACCATTCAACCCACTAGAGCCTGATCAGAACTACTTCCTATAGTTGCTAATAATGTGATTTCTTGGGCCCTACTCCCACTTCCTGAAGCAGAACCTCTGAGGCGTAGGCCCAGGCGATTTTTCTGCACCATGAAATCTGACGACATATGGCCCAGGGAATGGGGAAATAACCAGCTTAGACATGAGTGGTAAAAAATCAGCTCAGACTTGAGTGACTAAATTGTTCACGATCAAAAGGAAGATCAGAAAGAAACGAGTGGAGAAAACAAGGAGCTTTATGCACTGTTTTTTCTTTTTCGCTTTTCACCTCTTCTTATGAAAAATTTCGAACATGCACAAAAGTATAGCAAATAGTAATCCACTCCCAGGATCAACCTTCACAAGCTCAACCATTATCAATATGTTCTACTATTCTTGTTGCATCTTTTTATTGTACTGTATTACATTTTTTGCTGGAGTTCTTTTTTGAAGTAAATTCCAAACATATTATTCTACCCACAAAGCCTTCGTATGCATCTCTAGCAGAGAAAGACTTGAACAACCACAATGTCATCGCGCACAACACAACTGCAACGTTTCCTCAGCGGTTTCTAAAACTCAGCTTAGTGTTCACTTTTCCCCAGTTGCCTAAAAAAATTACCTTTCCACTGTTAATTTGTTTGAATCAGGATCTGAACATATTGCATTTGGTGCTGTGTTTCTTAAGTCACTTTTAGTCTCTATCACTTCCTCATCCTCCCCTTTCCTTCAAGGCTCCTTGTTTGCTGAAGTGATTGAGTCATCTGTCCTGAAGAATGTCCCACACTCCAGACCGGGCGGATGGCATCCTCGTGGTGGTGTCTGGCATGCTCCTCTATCCCCTTCATCTCCGTGAAGCGTAGTATGCAGGCTGAGAGCTGTGCGTCCAGGGGGGCAGCACCAGTCAGGGGGGCTATTGAGCGCTTGGAATATGGCTAGTGTGGCTGAGGGACTGAATTTTCCATTTTGTTCACTTTTAACCAATATAAAGTTGAATTTAAAAACTGAATCTTTGAGATAATCCATTAATATTTTAAATGGATTACATGTTGACATGCTAAGATTTTGGATATATTAGGTTAATAAAGTGTATTACTAGGATTAATTCCACGTTTTTCTTTTTACTCTTTTTAACAAAGCTACTAGAGAAATTTTAGTTATGCAGTGGGCTTGCATGGTATTTCTGTTTGGCAGAGCTTGTCTACAGGTTTGATTACCTCCAGGCTCACTGTGGCTTTTTTTCCCCCCATCAAAATTATTTGATCAATGGTACTACACGCCTCCTCTGATATCACTTCCCACACAATATTTGTTTGTTACTTTCAGCGATGGTAAGATTAACCATTTGGGTTTTATGTTATGATATTTTACTACAATTAAAAAAATGATCATTTGGTTCAGCTCCTCTAGCCTGACCCATACACCGTAACATTCCCCATCAGCCTTCCGCCTAATCACATTAGCAGCTATTGACGATGATCGCCTAAGTCCGGGATTTCACTAGGAGCGGTAAAACAGCGATTCCTTCCCCTCGATCCTGTCATTCCTCCTGCGTTCACTAGCTCTGTTCTTCTGTACAGATCTTGCCTCTGGCACCTGTGTGGTCACCCTGAGCAGGTCTGTCTTGCAGCCATCCCCCCTGCTCTGGATGGGGATGAGAAAAGTACCCTCTTTACAACGTGTAGGGGTGGGGCCTGCAAAATGCTCTGCCCGGGGTACAGTTCTCCGCAGCTGGAGACCCTTGTCAAAGAGAACCAGAGCCAGACACCAGAGGTGATAGACAGATCTCCCTCTGTGCTATTACAAAAGGGAAAAGAACCTTCATTACAGAACTGGCTTGATTCTGAATACAACATGAGGGAGCTTTATAGTCAAGGAGCAGAGGGCAGGGGTCAGTGGATTGAAAGTCACCAAGAAGATAAGGGGTAAAGGGATTCTTGCCAAACTGACTTAACAGGGTTCTTGGTAAAATCAGGCCAATGGGATCAGATATCAAGGGCGGGGGGTGGCGGCACTGACTTCTCAGATTCTTTGCTAAGACTGGCTTCTGGGGCCCAGGATCGAGCCCAAGGACAAGGCCTAGTAGAAAAGAGGTCTCCGAGGGGCTTCTCTAAAATACGGTCACGGGGAGAGTCTGCCACCATCTCAGGCCCAGCGCTTGGTTGGTGTGCAGTAAGAAACATTTGTTGAATGACTTGTCAAGGCGCCTATTTCTTGCCCTGCTCTGGGAGGCCAGAGAGAGCCTCTCACAGCCTTGGGGGGAGCGGTTTGTCCTGCAGCCCAGACAGACAGGAGGTGCCCCCCTCAGAGAGAGGCCTCAGCCCTTCCATGACCTCAGGCATGTCTGGGCTTCTTCCCTGCAGGCCTTCCACCCCTTTCCCTGATCTGCTGCAGCACCGGTACCAGCAGCTCTGGGTGCAGGAACAAAAGGCCACCCAGAAAGCCATTAAACTGGAGAAAAAGCACAAGGTAAATGCACCCTTCAGGCTAGAGTGGCCCCTGTGGATGGGACGGAGAGTGCCAGTGGGGGGACGGAGAGTGTCGGTGGGGCAAAGCCTGGAGAATGGCTTCCTGTGCACTTGCCCCTGGGCTGGGGGTGGGGCCAAGTCTCGCGTCATTGTGCTGAAGGGGTCTTGGCTGCGATCAGGTTCAACCCCTACGGAGCCCCCAAGATTGGAAGATTCTGACGTGGGTCCCTGGTAAGTCGGCTCCATTTTTCTGAGGCAGGATAGAACCCGGTCTCCTGACTCCTGCCAGGGGACTCCTTCCACCCAAACTCTGCACGACTTCACACATCCAGAAAGCAGATTTTAAACTCACTTGACCCGGCCTAGACAGAAACGTGCCCTGTCCTGTCTACAAAGGAAAGTCTGACAAGGTAAAGTCACTGAGGAGGCCACATCCAGGAGGGGCCGTGAAGAATGCATCTTTCCAACTTTACCAGTACGTTTTGTCTCAAACGAATGAATAGGCCCCATGCTGAACACTTCACGTACATCACATGCATCATCTCATTTGCACAGGACAAAAACCCATGAGGCAGGTCCCTGCTCCCCAGCCCTGGACAGGGAGGCTCAGAGGTGGTGCAGGCGAGGACACTGGAGCTGAGAAGAGAACAAGGTCTGAACACAGGGGTCACTGTAGGTCCAGACCGGTCACTGTAAAATCCGAACGGCTTACCATGCTAGCAGTGCCACGCAGACTTCATCAGAAGCACAGTGCCAGCGCCTCTGGTTGTCGCTGCGTCCATAGCCAGGGTGGCCCCCGTCCCGCGCTCCATGCAGGCACCACGCTGAGCATGCACCAGCTATGCATTCTCTCATGAGGTTGGGTCTCAGCAGATTATCCCAGTTTGTTTCATTTTCACACGGGGAAACTGAGGCTCAGAGAGATTTAAGTGACTGGTCAAAGGTGTCCAAGCTAGTCCTGGACTCAAGTGTGTCTAGCCCCAGAGCCCAGGCTCCTCTTGACCGTGAGGTCCGATTCCTGCTGATTTGGGGAAAACTTGGGGTTCAGCAACAGTGCTAAACAGGGAAGCACAAGTCCTCAGGGATTGCCTTTGTGGACGGTGTCTGCGCGCCTCTATCATGGCAGGGGTTTTATGGTGGGAGATGCTGAAAGTCCTCCAGGCCCTGCTTTCAGGAGAAGACTGCCTTCAAGCATAGACGAAATGAGGGCCTGGCAGATTCAGGCTCAAGAAAAAGCACACAGAGTATATTACTCTTACAAGTTCTACAAAAACATAGGAGGACGTGAGCACATGAATCGGGCCCCCCAGGACCTTTGTGCTCCCTGTCCTGTGCCCCTCCCTCATGCCCCCTGCCACAGTGGCACATCCTCTCGGGTCACCTGGGTGCCAGTAATCGCCCAGCTCATCTCCAGGTCTGGGGCTCCGACTTGCTCCATTGAGGAGCTCCATATAAACAAGAGTCCCCTGTTACCTGGAAACACCCCCAGGAATTTGTATGATTTTTGAGAAGGATATTGGCCTCGGGCTAAGGTTTGACTGTGAGTGGAAATCTCAGGGGCACCCAAGGAAAACACAGGGTCCAGGGCCCCTCCCCACCTACCATGGGATTGGGGGCCCTGGACCCTGCGTTAGTCTGCTTGGGTGGCCACGACAAAGCACTACAGGCTGGGCAGCTTAGACAACAGAAATCCATTTTCTCACCATTCTGGAGGATGGAAGTCCAAGATCAAGGTACTGGCGGGGCTGGTTTCTCCTGAGGCCTCTCTCCTTGGCTTGCAGGTGACATTCTCTGAGTGTCTTCACACGACCTTTCTCTGTGTGCATCTCTGGGGTCTCTTTCTCTTCTTACAAGGACATCAGCCCATTGTGTTAGGACACACTCCTTAGGACCTCCCTGAACATTAGTCATTTCCTTAACGGCCCATCTCCAGATACAATCACATTGGGGGATAGGACTTCAACATGTGAATGTGGAGGGGACATGATTCAGACCGTGATAGACCGTGTGCGGCAGGACCCCAAGTGCGGGCACAGAGTAGTTAAAGAGGATCAGGACTTCCTCTGTGCCTCTGAAATCCCTTCTACAGAGACTTTGTGGGCTCCTAACTCAGCCCCTGAATCCTTCCTTCCAAAGGAGTTCTCCTTCTTCTTCCACAAGCAGACCACAGGGGGACCTGCTCCTGAGAGACGGCCTCAGTCCTCCAAATCATGCATTCTTCAAGCACTGTAGAGTCCCTACTAACTGCAGGGCTGTGTGAACTGTGGAAGAAATCGCAAGGATTCCTGGGACCCTGTACCTGCCCTCAGGTGGCTGCATGCCAGAACCCCACGTTCTAGGACCAAACCAGAAACCAGAACAATGTGCTCACAGCACCCCGTGGTCCCAGGTGCCATGGTATCAGGCCTGGAGAAGGGCCGGATCCAGGAGGCATGTGACCAATGGGTGTGCAGCCATGCCCCAGCCCCCGCATCCCTGAATCGTAGCTCAGGCTTCTCCAGGTAGCCAGGTCGCCATATTGCCTTTTGCATTTCTCTGGCATGCAGGTGATGCTCGGAAAGCTTTATGAGACTCGGAGCAGTCAGCTGAGGAGGTACAAGCCCCCCGTGAAGCTGGATGCCCTCTGGCACATGCCTCATTTCCAGAAGGTCAGTCTTGCCTCAACCACCCCTTCCTGCAGTGGCGGGTGCCCCTCACTCTGCCCTCTCTTCACCTGTCCTCAAGACAGTGGAATTTTGTGAGCTCCTAGCCATTGATAGTGTAACAATAGCAATAACAGCAATGGCATAACTAATTTTGAGCAGTTCCTGAGTGCCAGGCACTGAGCTCCACTTACATTATCTGTTGAGTCTCCACACTTAGCCGTGGCAGGCTGCCACCCTCAGTCCTGCTTCACAGGCAGGACGCAAGTGCTGTTAAGTGGCAGCCTTGGGTGGCATCGGGCCAGCTGACTGTGGAGCCTGTGCGTCAGGGCAGACACCATCTGGGCTAAACCCCCTCCACTGAGGGTCATCCGTGCACCACCTTCTGTGCTGGGGACTTAAGGGTACAACCAGACCATGCCACCAGCGCTAAAGCTCCTGCAGATGGTGTCCTGGGGAGAAGGGCACAAAGGTCTGACGCGGGCCCATATAAGGGCTTGACACACACTCAGAGGCACCTGGCACCTGCCTTGCTCTGGCCTCAGAACTGAACTGGTGCTTATTAGGCCACACAGCTCCTGTAGTACCCAGATGGCATCATCTCCATCCCCATTTAGCAGGAGAGGAAGAAAAACGAAAGAGCTGAGGGCATTGGACAGACGAGGTGACCTGGGAGATTCAGGGACAGTGGCCTCGGGATGGCAGGGAGCTGTTCATGCCCAGCTGGGACCCAGCGAGGCTGCCTCAGGGCCACAGGGACACGCCTGGTCCTGGGAAGACAGCTGGGCCAAGCACCGTTCCCGGCCAGCCCCAGCCTGGTGGCTGTGCTGAGTTAAACTGCAATTTAGACAATGAAGGGGCGGGTGCCTTCTTGAGCCTAATGCAATGGAACAAGCCGCGCTGGGCGGAGAAGCCTGCCCGCCGCCCGGATGCGGCCTCTCGCGTCCTGCCCCGTGGCCTCCGTCAGCGCCTGTCAGCAACCGTCCGCCCACCGCCCGCCCGGCCCCGGCCACTGCCTCTCCCAGTCTCCGGCCTTCCGCCGGGTTCCTTCTCCCCTTCCTCCTCTCGCGCCCGGCAGTTCCAACCACAGCCTCCTCCCGGGCCTCCTCCTGTGGCCTTTCCTCCTTCCTTTTCTCCCTGATTTCCTGGGAGGCTGAGGGGCGGGGCGGAGCCACGACTCTGCCGCAGTGGCGGCTCCCGGCCCCTCGTCTCTGATTTAGAACCTGCCAGGCAGATTCTTTATAGCGCTGCCTGCTGCCCAGGCAACAGACAAAGAAGGGCTCGGGTGGTGTCCCCCGGCAGAGCATGGTGAGCCCCCAGCCCCCAGGTCACCCCGATTCTCCTGCGTCCAGAGCACCTGCACCGCAGGCAGGTAGCCCCACACGCCTGCCCCTCAGTAGAGCACAGAGCAGAATGAACAACTGTTTCCACTGTCAGAGGAGGGGATCTGACTCGGCCGTTCGCGGGTCTCCTCTAGGCTTTCGAGTGTTGCCGTAAAACACTGGCGTGCACACGTAGCCGGCCTGCAATGCCGGCCTTTTACTCAGTGTCCGTCACCTATGCGTATTATCTCATGTCATCTTCCAAACAAGTGTCCTTTCCCCACCTGGGTGGCTGGGCCGGGACCCAGGTTCCTTTGCCTGTAGGACCCTCGCTGAAATGCACCACCCATCATGACACAGAACTAGTGAGACGGGGATAACGACGCAACCCTGGGACATATGGGTGTTTGTGTCTCTTCCGGGGATGTTCACAGGATTCTGTTGGGAAATACTACCGACAAAAAGCATTCATTGAGCCTCATGTGTGTATCAAGTGCTGGACGCACCTTAGCTTAGCTCTGCTGTCCCTGTTCCACGGCATGGAGACTGAGACAGAGCAGTGACGGAGCTCGCCCTGTAAGGTGGGGCCCTGGGTTCAATCCAGGGCTGAGGGGCCTGCAATCTCCCTCCCTCCAGTCCTGTGCCAGCACAGCTCGCTCCTCTCCACCTGCAAAGGGCTCCCTTTTTTCCTTCACAGTGTTCTTCCACATTGCAATTAATTAACTAATCGGGTGATTAGCTGTTCAACGTCCATCTTCCCCAGTAAAATGGACACCCACCCACTAGGACCATGCCTGCCGTGTCCCCACCGCATCCCCAGAGCCCAGAGCAGGGCCTGGCACCCAGTAAGTAACGGTTGTGGAAGAAATGGACAAGGAGTAGATGAATGAGTGAATGGATGAGCAGGACTACCCAGAATGACCGAGAATTCAAAAGCCCTTCACAAACCTGCTGAAATCCCTCACCCACCTGGCTGCCCACTGCTCTGAGCTCAGAGGCCTCCGGCCCCAGGGTGGGGTTGCCGCTCTCCCAGGCCGTGTCCGCCAAACCCCAGGGGGGTCTTGGTCTGCGCCTCACCTCGTGTCTCTGCTAACCCACAACCCCCACCAGCCCATGAAGAAAGGAAAACATGCTTCCAAAAAAGTTGAACCTGTCACAGTGACGGATGACCTAAACGGGCTCTCCCCACTTGCGAACAGATGTCAACGCTGAACTCTGTCAGAAATAATTAAACACCTTTCACACGGAAAAACAGTCGGCAGGGGCGCAGAGGCTACTCCCGGGGCTGGGTCAACGCGAGCAAGCTGGCCTCAGCGCTAACCCAGCCAGCCTGCCAGGGGGCCGCACCCCTGCACCCAGGCCATGAGCCCCAGTGGGCCCAGGAGGAGAAGCCCTTCGCGGGGCTCCTGCAGGCCTGGCTGGACCCTCAAACAGTGCTGCTGGCGGCCCCAGGCTTCTCTCAGGTCTGTGCGGCCAGCAGCTGCCACAGATGGCCAGTGCCCAGAGGGAGGGTCGCCCACAGCTGGGAGTGGCCCTTCTGCCAGGGTGTTTATCCTGTGCCACCAGCCGGCCAAGAGGCCCAGGCCAGCCATGGAGACTCCATGCTCCTCTGTTTCCTCGTCTGAATATGAGGGGGTAGCACCTGCTCTTGAGGGGCTCTGTGACCCCAAGTTCACTGGCCAAAGAGCCAGGAGGGAGGGGCCTGGGGACCCCCACAGGTGGTGGACACCAAGCCCAGAGTGAGCTGTCCAGGGAACCTTCCTCAGGACCCATCTGGGGGACAGGATGTGAACTCATCGCCTCCCACGCCTGAGTGGAGGGATCTTGGGCTTGGGGCCAGCACCCTCTGAGCCCTGTGGCCAAGGCAGCAGGCTCTCTACTGCCCCACACAGGGCGCTCTGGGAGCAGCCTGCAGGGACAGAGGAGGGGAGCCAGGTGGTGTGTCTGTGTGTGCGTGTGACTCTGGGGCACACGGACGCCCTGCCATTCCCTACCTGTGAGGTGGCTTTCCCTGTCCCAGGCCCAGTTTCCTCTTCTGTAAGTGGGCTAGTAGGAGTTTTCGAGAGAACACATGTATGTGACATTCAGCAAGCACCTGGTCCCTACTAAGGTCTCAACAAACAGCAGCTGCCATGAGGATGGTCCTGCTGATCATTCATTCATTCATTCATTTGTTCACACATCTTGTTGAGCAGTTTGCTTCAGGCCCTGTTCTCAGTGCCCACCATAGGCTGCTTCGGGCTGCTGGCACCTGGCAGAGGGTGAGGTGAATGGACAGACAGTGGGCAGGTGGGTAACTGCACAGGTGGATGGCTAGACAGGGACGTTTGGAGCAGCTCTGCCCCCAGGTAGCCCGAAATGGTGGGAACACCAACCCTAGTTGGTGGACTAAAGCTCACGGGTAGCGATGACCCCATAAGGATCAGCCTCATTAGCATAATCCTGGCATGGGCTGGCCCACCCTGTTCATGTGCCTTTTGCAGAAACCGCCTCAGGTTTTCCCGGGTGGAGGCCAGACATCCCAGCGTGCCCAGGATAGCCCTCCTCTGGGCCTGTTGGGAGGCGAGATTATTTATAGCACTGCCTTCTGCTCTCAAAAGTGACCCCGACTGAACCGCATATTGCATGACTGCCTAATATTAAGCCAAAAAAAACAGACGGTTTATCCTTTACAAAAAGACTGCCAGTGACAGCAACCCAAAGACAAAGGGGCGAGTGCCCCACATATTCATGGCAGCGCCAACAGCAGCGAGGAGAAGGCCTCTGCACCTGCTGGCAGATTCTGTACAGACATTACTGAGGTAACAGTGATGCCACACAGTCGCTGAGCGGAGCGACTTGTCTGTGCATGTGGACTGATCGCTGCTCATCGGGAACGACCTCTGTGGCGACCCTGCCTGGGTGGGCCGCGCATCCCTGCAGGTGGCCGTGACGTGGGAAGGAGGCCTCCCAAGCCGGGTGGCGTGATCTCTGGGGCAGGCTGGAGGCTGAGTTTCCCTTTCTCTGATGCTCTTTTCTGCATTGTTTGAATTTTTACTCTGAGTACATGTAACTCTTACCAAAACCAGTTTTTTTTTAATGTATTGGAAGGATGGGGATGCTGCACCCTTCCCGGGCTTCCCGAGCAGGGTCCCTACCACCAAGTCCATGCTCCGATTGGAGACCCCAAATCCATTCTAGAGGTGGGGTTTGCCCAAGCACCTCACGTCCTCCACGTCAACCTGAGCTGTGCCTCCCCCTGCACAGACCTGCCTTTCCTCCCCAGCGCCCACAACCACTGACATTACATAGTCATTCAGTCACTAAAGTATGAACAAATTGACTATATTTTCATTTGGCTTTTGGTTTCAGCCCCACTGCTTTAGAATAATGGCCCAAGCTATTAAGCTAACGGGTTGATTTACAAGCTCTTGTGCTCCGAATGCTGGATCGGACTCCTGTCTTTGTGGAAGACTAACCCTGCCTCAGGTCTCCTGGGCCCCCAACTCCCTAATAGAATGGGAGACGGCGGGAGAAAACCAGCAGGCAGCCAAGCAGAGATGCAGCTGATTAGTGAAAGCTGCTGAATCTAAGGAAAGGATTTTCTTTCCCACCTTTAAGCTCTCTTACAAATCATGGCTGGCTGGAAAGTTAACTCTCTGTTAAGCCCCCAGAGCGGGCTCAGAGCCCGTCGGCCCTGCTGCC